TGACACTGATGCTTCCATTTGCAGCTGCTCCTCATGCTGGCAGACCTGTTGGAACACCTACGAGATCCTGTTCAACCTCTGGTTCCCACACTGGACCTGCAGGTTCAGACTGGCTTTTGAAACCACCCTGTCAAATGGAGATGCAAAAGCACAAAGGAGGAAGAAAAGAGGAGAGGAAGAGATCTCTGTATGACAGAGGACTCAGATGAGTGAAGACCTCTGCGTTTTCAAATTTAGAGGTGCCGTCAACTAGTTGCATCTGTTCCTGCACTGATTATGTGGAAGGCTGTGTTGACTGCTGACATCCCTGCTTGGACTTGCAGTCCGAAACCTTGCATTGCATCTTTGAGAACACAGATCAGCTGATGATTCCTGTCCTTCTGGAAATGGGTGGGGAAAAAAGGGTGTAATGGTAGAGCATATCATAGGCAGAAAAAAAACCCAGATGTCTAAGGAGATCTATGCCGAGGTTTTGCCACAAATCTCATTTTTCCTAAGTCTTCCTTTTCTGATTTATGAAGATTGTGTCCAGATCTTGTAAGGGAAAGGATGTTTTCAAGGTAAATATTAGCTTTCCCTCTCCATATTGATGGCCTGTCATGCAAGAGTGCAGTGGAGGAGAGATGACCACAAGTATCCAATCTGAAGTGAGATACTCATCTTCTGTCCCTGCCACAAATGCTTGTAGCTGCAATTACGCAGCACAAATGTTGCTTAGCATTAATCCTCCTTTTCGATGGAGGTCCATTCACAAATCCCAGAGATCCATCTGTCTTTTACCTTCACTTTCTCCTATATGGTTTACCTTTCATGGTTCGGTGATCCATGGTAAATCAACTTTTAATAGTAGGATCTGGGATATAGATGGCTGCTCCAAGAAGAAATGTTTTTTCTCTGTTGCCTTGTCATCCATTGAACTAACGACTCCATATCGAGTAGCTAGATATGCATGGACAAAACTGTCTTGTGCCACAGCAGAAGGAAGGGTGGTAGACCATCCTAGATTTAAGAAGCTTAAGTACTTGCAAATGTGAATTTGAGTGACTTTGGCATTACCAATTAGGGAAGAGAGTTGTCCTCCGGTTTGCAGCATGTATTCTAACACTTGGAATCCAAAAGTGGACAATTAAATGTTGATGTTGATAGTGAAATGCTGGTGTTCTGGACTTGCCAGCTGTCGGCCTGGACTTAGATTGCAGCTGGGGTGACTGCTTTATCTGTCTTTCTAGGAGAGAGAAAGCACCCTCATTTTTCTTACCGGTGTGCCTGCAAACCAAAGAAGACTTCTGAGTGATACCTCTGATGCTCTTTTTGATTTCTTTGACTTCCTGTCTTGCTGGCTTTTTTGAGTTAAGAACTGTGTGAAGCACCAGTTGGTAGCAATTCAGCCAAGAAATGAACCAGTATCAGCCAAACCTGTTTCTGCACAGCAATGGATCACTTAGACAAGCTCTTTCTCAAAATGCAAACTGGTTTTTATATGGGAAGGGGACATTACAGCCTGTTGTTCAACTGTCTCCCACTTGTGTCCGTCTTAGACCATGGTACTTGTAAGTTCAGAGGTGCCTAGTGAAGGCATTTCTTTGACAGGGAAAACTTAACTTCTTTAGTATCTGTTTGTTCCCTGATGTGAGTATTTGTCAGATGTCTGATAAGTAATTTTGAAATTCAGTGAATGTGAATGACTATCTTGGTGACCATTTTACCTGCAGGAGGGTGGTGCAGAACCTGGTCCATACAAACGGTGGTCGCAGTGTCTGTCACAGGCAGCATGCCTGGGGGATCCCTCTGGCTGTCTTCAGTCTCTGGGAAGAGTTTTCTGGAAATTAACTTGCCCATTTTTATTCGTGTCGCCATACCTTTTAGGGAGACTAATGTTTTCACATCGTGGGTGAAAACAGAAGCTTGGCTGCATTCAGGAACCCAAGTGTTGCCTTCTCCCCGAGCATCGTCTCCCTTGGAGAAAACTGATGTGCACAGTCGTTCTTTTCTGATACAGTCTCATTGCTGTGTCAGATCTCTCCCACCTGCCTGGTTCAGCTGTTAGAGAGGAGGATCTCGAAAAGAAGTACCATCCATGTGCCTGCTTGCTTTTCTTTCACCCTTCTCAGTAGACAAATACGTATCAGTATTGCGGGCTGACAAGAAATGGGGATGCGCTCCAAGTAGCGTAGCAAGTGTTGAGAGGAGCTGACACAGATGAGAGTGGACCCATGGAAAGTTTGGTCCAAAAAACCCTGGGCTTGGGTGTTTGCCCTACAGGGGTAGAATGGGTGCTTTGGTTTGAAAGTCCTGGCAAAACCCAGAAAAGTGCTGAAGAACTTCCTTTTCGATTGAAAACCAGTTACTGAAAATGTTTTGTTCTTCCATGATGCTTTGGATGGTCAAAGAGGATCTGTTTCACAAATCAGCTGTATTAAAGTAATTTTAGACACTTTGGGCTGGCAATGACCAAGTTGAGTTGTAACTTCTTCAAGATGAAAAGGTGTAGGAGGTCACTGGTGCCTCTTTAGAATTTCTGTTGACTGTATTTAAACTTTGTTCCTTGAGTTGCAGCCTTCTCTAACCACAGACAAGTGCTCGTTTGTAACACCTCGCCCAATGCCTTAGGAGCTTGAAAGTAAGACTGGAAAGGGCACCGAGTGCCATTCTGGCATTCAGCTGAGATGCAGTTTAGGAGCCTTCCAAACACTTTATACCTGTGGGAAAGTATTTGTAAGCCTGAGGGTAGGATGCTCTTCACGATGTTATGTCACAGTGATGACACACAGGATTTTACATCAAAAGAGCAATGTAAGCTAAGCTAGAGGCAGAAGGGGAGGCAACGGGGGTGCAACAGCAGCAGGTGCTTTGGGAGCTGCCCGTCTTGGCATCATCTGATGGTGATGAGCAGTTGGATGTGTTGTGCCCAGATGAATAGTCTAATGTAGTCAAGCTGTGGTTGCCAAAGTAAGTCTCTTTTTTTTAAAAAAAAAAAAAAAAATCTGTGGATCGCTATAGTCTAATACAGCATTGAATTTGAATTGTAGATTGCACTTATTGCTGCAAGCAAGGGCTCAGGCCTGGGGGGAGTTGAAGCAAAGAGAAATAGCTGGTGCTGAAAAGAGATTACGTTGCTAATACTTTAATCAGAAGAATTTAGAATGTGTTAAGCTATAGAATTGTAGCACTGGGAGTATACAACAGCAAGTATCTGATTGAAGTAACTGCTTTGTTTAGTAGAGTGTTTAGTCTCATCAGTTTAAGGCATAAATAGTTGAGATTCTCCTATCAAACACAACTACATCAAAAGAAAAAGCCCTCTGGAAAATAAAGCTTGATTGAGTAAAATGAGATCCAAGGTTCAACTTAATGGTATTTCTGTGACTGTGGTTTCATGTGTTTAAATTCATGCAGGAACCCTGAGTACTTAACAGTAAAAAATAAGCAAACTAATATTTACAAATATTCCAAGTATCTCTTGGAATCTCACTTGTAGACATAGCAGCATGTAAGTTACTGATTAATGAAAAGTTTTTATTTGATCACTTAAGCGTGACTACTACATGTTTATTTGAAATGTTGTATTTAAGTTGTCTTGTTCTTGTTACATGATTTTTCTCTCCAAATTTCTAAAATGAGAAATTACTATACTAATGTTTATGATTAGGATTGGAGTTGCTGCGTCTGTGTTTCAATAGGGAAAATGGGTGGAATTGGAAGTTGTGGTTGTTGCTTACAGATCTAATTTTTTTTTTGGATTAGTAATTAATAATATATATTGACTTTCAAATCTTTTTTTTTAGTATGTGGGTTTTTTTCCTCTGGTTTTCCTGCCCCTTAAAAAAATTTATTTTAAAAAACATCTTTCAGAGTTTTGATCACAGTTAAGATTATGTGGTAGTGAAGCCTTTTTTTCTTTATTTGATAAGAATAATAGTCTTACCATGTGGTGGCTGTCTGTTTCCATGCAGCTACTGGAATTGTGTAGGTAACAAGATACACATTGTCATTTAGAAGCACTAACTAGATTCTGAAAGGAAGAGTTTCTTGGAGAGGTGTGTATTTACAGAGGTAATTGACTCTCCGAACCTTCCAGACTGTTAGGAACATCTGTTTCTAACTTGGTGAGTGGAGGTGGTGTTTTGGTAAGGTTGCTATTTAGCTAATATTTAAATAACTAAGTTAGCAGCCTGGGCAGCACTAATAGTACCTTGTGAGAACTAAGCCTCGTTCAGGCTCAGATCCCACGCTTGCCTGAGTCAATCAACATGCTTGTGTTGCCTTCGGTAGGCACCATCCGAGCCCCTTGGCACACGTGGCAGGCACGTACGTTTCCACTGTACCTGGTATTAAGCATATTTATATCGCTAGCATGATTTCAGAGGATGACAGGGCAGAAAAAACATTCAAAGAGGGACTATGGTTATCTATGAAACATAATCCTTCACTGTTGTGGTTTCGTCACCCGTTTTAGAAGAAGAATAATGTTCTGCGCTCAGCAGAGCGTCTTTGTTCCTTTAAAAGAAGCTTTCTGTTTCTAGGCAGAAAGTAATGAACCCAGAATTGGTAGTAAACTTAGAAGAGACAACTTTGGATGGATATTTACTATAGGATGGCTTTCCCTAGCTGTCTTTGGCTTGGGTGTCAACACTGTGTGCAACCAGCTGACAGAGGGTAGTATGTTCACAGAGACATTGCATTGTCTGAGTCTTCTGTCACTGATGTAGGTAACAAAAAACTACTGAATAGCAGACAAACTGGCTTGATTCAGTGGTCTTTTGAAGCCATCTGATACCCCACTAAACACCAGAGATGAGTTACTGAGACGTAATGACTATCTGAAAGTCTGAATTAGTCATGCAGTCACTTTTGACCAAAACTTCTGGGAAAAAGCTTGTTGGATCCTGGGTAATGACTGTGGTTATGGTACTCCCGTTCTATAACCAATTAAATAAATGTTGGTTCTGATAAGTCTCATCTGCCTAACTTTATTTTTCTTGCTCTCTCTCAGTGTTGGACTTTGCCTTGCCAGCCTGCAGTTGCCATGGGTATACCAGTCTTCATACTCGCTGGTCTCCTTGTGCATTGTGTGTTCTTGGTCTCCATTTTTGACATCTACTTCAGCTCTCCCCTGGTTCATGGTATGACTCCTCAGCAGACTCCACTGCCACCTCCAGCAAAACGTCTCGTACTCTTTGTTGCTGATGGTCTGCGGGCAGATTCCCTGTATGAACTGGACAGCAACAGTACGCCCCAGGCACCTTACCTGCGGTAAGTCCATCTGAAAACGCTACTGAGCCAGGAGATTTCGCTTCGGAAGACAGCTCTATGTACTCTTGAAAAGAGAACAAGAGGAACAATAGCAACTGTGGTGGCTTGGATGCTGCCTTCCCTCTGCCTCTCGAGTAACAAACTTCGCAGTGTTACGCTCCGCAGAAATGCGTGAATTTGAGTGGGTGTCCCTTGTTTGCAATAAAGCTGCTAAACCACAAAAAGAGTAACTTGAGTCAATATTGCACTCTGAAAACTACAGCTAGTAACTGAGAGGAGCGTGAACTTTCTCTGCTCGCATCAGCGAGGCATCAATTCTAAAGCCTAACAGAGTCGTTCATTTAAACTGCTTCCTGCATGTTCAGTTTAGGAGCAGTAGTTCCTTAACGTGCTCGTCTTCTAATTCCAAGCTACTGAGAAAGCTTTTTAAGGAGCAATTAAAAAAGATGGCCTGAACGGATCTAACAGCAGGCTGCCACTTCCCATTTGTTCCACCCTTCCTGCATGTGTGACTCTGCTGCCTGCCTTGTGCTCTCCAGTGTGTGTCTCATTGCTTAATGGAATGATTTGGTTTAAGATTGTGGAAAACTAGTCCTATCAAAAAAGAGTGTTAAAAGTCATATCCTTGAGTGCTTAAAACTAATTTTCAACCAACCTCCCCTGTTTCCTTATATCAAGATAATTATTGATCATAAGGCAAATAATTTCTTAGACTTTTTTTCCTTAGGCAAAAAATTTCTTTGACTAAATAAGTATGAAATAAGACTACTCTTGTGTAATTGCTTTGATCTGTCTTGAGAATCAGGGCAAACCCAAATAATCGATCATCTGAAGCTGTTGGGGCATTAGCAGTCTGCTACAGAAATCTGAGGAGCCCTTGCTACAGCACTTGCCAGCTCATATGGGATCACTTGTACCTGCTTCTCCGGTTGTTAGTGGTTTTGTAAGGTGCTGTCTGCCACACTCCTATCATGTGAGTTTTCCGTGTTGTCTTTTGGCAGTGAACTTGCTGCTTCCTCCAGAGCAATTTCTTCTCTTACCAGTAAAACTGTTGGTCTTTTGCACTGTCAACAAGGCGGGAGCACTGTGATGGAGCAGTGGTGGACAGTGGCTAGGAAAGGGTTATAATGGATATTTTTGCCATTAAGTGGTTCGAGGTTTTTCAGTTTCAGTCATTCAGCATTAGAACGTCTATCTATCTAGAAAGAAAAAGTTATACATGGTTGGAAAGTTGGCACTTTATCTCTGCTTTACCTTGTTTGTGGAGTTACTTTCTGTATCAAAATCTGTGGAAGTCCAATATTGTCACCTGTGCTGAAAGCACATGGGTGAACGGAGGGGGAGAACTGCAGAGTAGCTGGTAGGTCACCAAGTGGAATGAAATACCAGTAGAGATTGGCAGTGCCATCTGTATTTCTCTTGTCTCTCGTTCTGCATACAAATACATGTGTCTGTGAGAGATGATGAAAAGAAAAAACATGTGGCATCTTGTGCCTTCTGCAAGGTGGAGGGCCAGGCAGTCCAGAACGTATCTTCAGCTCCATAACTTACTCTGCTACAATTCTGAAGCTCAGTGTTGTGTCACCAAACCTGTGAGCTGTACAGTTTCCATAGGTTAACCTTGTAAACAGGTCAACGAGATCAGATGTTCGTTGCTGAAAGTGTTTCCTTTTTTAGTCTGCCAAATTACTGCTATCTGAGCTTTCCTTTTTCAATAATATTCACCGAAAATATATGCAGTTTAATATAAAGTTAACTTTTTTGCACATTCATTCCTAAGTACCAGGTGTTCAGTCCTTTATCCACTTTACAGTAGCTGGTAACGTAACAGCCAGATTAGTTGTCTCATCCAGGTGGAGCATTTCGGGAACTACTGTGTTGTTAATGAGGAAAGATTATCTTTAAATGGGCAAGAACTGTTCTTGTAGCCATGTGCTATAAATAGAAGCAAAGTTTTAGTAGGCACATATTAGTAATAATAAACATCCATGAGGCTTAGAGCAGGTTGCTGGCTGATATATGCCAAATACCTAGTCTTCTCTCTTACAAATATTCTTGAAAAAATCTGTTTTTTAGCAGTGTTGTGATAGCTGTGAAGGACGGTAGGTGGTCTGAATTGCTGTGGTAGGGGGGAGCAGATTTCAGGGAAGATTTCTTCCTTGTCTGTCATATTTCAGCTGTATTACTATATCATACTCATATTCATCATTGTTATTATGAGTAGCTGATGTTTATATTGTCAAATTAATTTTTTTAATAGTTCTTCTGAGTAAAAGGCTTTGAAATAATTCAAAATAGCTAAATGAACTTTAATTTTTTTAATAGTTCTTCTGAGTAAAAGGCTTTGAAATAATTCAAAATAGCTAAATGAACTTTGAACAGGTAAATGATGATACCTGGCTGTATTTTTTTTCTGCCTGATACATGTTATTATTGACTTCAGATCCTGTGATACAGCCCCACAAAAGCAAAGGTAAAGGATTACTTTCCAACTCAACAGGAATGAAATTCTAATTAAAACAATTTCCTACCTGTTGTGACAGTGAAGTGTGAGGAGGGCGAAAAGTGTTTTAGTTTTGTCCTAAATATTCCACTAATGCTAGTGCAATACGTTTTGATCAGAGTTTCCAGTGAGAATAAATTAGAAACCACTTTAATACTTAAATCCTTTTTTCAAATTAGTACTTTTTTCAATACAACTTGTCTTAAAACCTAGCAGAGATGAGAGGTAGGAATAACACGTCAGAGTGCTATGTCACCTTTTACATTTTGCAGTGTAATATTTGGGCTATTCCAAATAGTCCTGTGAGCTTTCAGGTTGGCCTCAGAATGTGAGGTCTAAGACGAGTTAAAAAAAAAAAACAAAAACACAAAACCAACAATAAGCAAACTGAATCCTGCAAGCTTAGAGTAGAGCCTGAAATTTTAGGTTGTGGTTTGATTCTTACTTCGTTAGTGAGAAATGTGTTTGGAGCTGAGTGTACAGATCTTGTCATTAACGCTTGTATAAAAGCTCTGTTAAAAATCAAGTCACCAAGCATGAGCTTAGAATCTACTTGGGCTAAAACACATCCGATAAAAATCCTATAAAAATAAGCAAATTTTGTAGCTTATATCATGCACAACAAAAATACAATTTCCTGGTAGATTCGACTCATAAAAACTGCTTTGAATTTGTTCAGAAGATTCTGTTGCTTTTTTTCCTAAACATTAGTATAAGGTATGTCCTGGTGTGTTTTGTTTTCTTTCTTTCTTTCTCCCCTTGCTCTGACAGTGGGCAGTGAATCTTTCTCTTCTTCCAGAAGATGGAGACAAGAAAACAGCATATGGCAATGCTCATGACTTGCTCTCCTGAAGGCTCCAGCTGTTGGCATCTTCAGCAGACAGGAGCAGTTTGAGGCTGTTTCTTGCACTTGGGCTTTGTCCTCTGTTTTCTTTGCTTTTTGTCTGTTATAGCTGTTGTACAAGCCTAATCTCTAGAAAATGTATGTATTTCTGTATACATGATGAGAAGGTATTCTCCTTCACTTTGGTGTAATTGCAAAAGAGACAAGATTTACTTACATTTTCTTTTTGTTGCTGAAATGTTTTGCACCATAGATTTACATGGCTTTTAAATTCTCTTGGTGCTGGCTTCCGATATTCAGCACAGACAAAGGCAGACACGGTCACAAGAACTAATTATAATTGAGCATATTTAATGAGTAAGAGAAGATTGAACTAGACACTTTCAAGCTAAATAGAAAGAACAAACGAAAGTAACACCAGGCAGAAACAATCTATCGGGGGGGGGAAAGAAAGTAAGCTATAGCAGGAAGCAACAGAAATAAAAAAGTATGTTAATTCTAAGTGTATTAGAACACCAGCACTGCAAACAGATGAGTTTAGGTGATGAGCCACAGTAGTAATGTTCTCTGTGGGTGTTAGAGTGTAGAACTACTTGCAGGTTAATGTTCTGCTTGTTTTGCTGCACGGTAGGTGGTAGCAAAAATCTGGTTTAGTCTGTTTTTGTGTTGTTTTTTTTTTTACATTTTCTGCCTCACATCTACCTGTCGCTCTTTTTATCTGCAATTTGTTGGACTTCCAAGAAGTCATTAGCATTAACTGCCTTGTCTCCTGATTTCAGGAGTATTCTAGAGAATAATGGCAGCTGGGGAATCTCTCACACCCGGGTCCCAACCGAATCCAGGCCAGGGCACGTGGCACTTATAGCTGGATTTTATGAGGACGTCAGCGCAGTTGCTAAAGGTATGCTGGTCCTAAAGCTTTGAATGCTGTCTTCTGAAATAAGGTGTTTCAGTGATGTGCTGGGCTTCTAGGTGATTATTGATAAATACCTGCATAGGGGTTTGTATACCGAGAGTATAAGAAAAATAATCATTTTGGATGGATTTCCCACTCTTAATATTGATAGCTATGGAAAGAGTTTACCTAAGTTAATATTTTCTGACATGGTAAAATTTAGCACCCTGAGTCTAAAAGCAGCAGTGTTGTATGGAGTGAACTCTTCATAGAATCACAGAACGGTTTGGATTGGAAGGGAACTCAAAGATCATCCAGTTCCAACCCCCCCGCCATGGGCAGGGACACCCTCCACTACACCAGGTTGCCCAAAGCCTCATCCAACCTGGCGTTGAACACTTCCAGGGATGGGGCATCCACAGCTTCTCTGGGCAACCTGTGCCAGTGCCTCACCACCCTCAGAGTGAAAAATTTCCTTATAGCCCCTCTAAATCTCCCCTCTTTTGGTTTAAAGCCATTTCCCCTTGTCCTATCACTACATGCCCTTGTAAAAAGCCCCTCTCCAGCTTTCCTGTAGGCCCTTTCGGTACTGGAAGGCTGCAATAAGATCACCCCGGAGCCTTCTCTTCTCCAGGCTGAACAGCCCCAACTCTCTCAGCCTGTCTCCATAGCAGAGGTGCTCCAGCCCTCGGATCATCAATGTCACAGTGTTTTTAATGTTCATTTGGGGTGTAATGAGAGACGACTAAGTAGATGTTGCAAACAAGAAGCGAACTGCAGTGTCTTAGCTGAACCATTGCTGGGTTGAGTTGGAGAATCAGTCGCAAAATAAAGCAAAAACCCCAACTACGTGTTTTGTCCAGAGCTAACTGTTACTGCATGCTTGGTGGTTAATAATGTGAGTCTTTGCGTTACCGACTTGGTTTTCTCTGTGGTCCTCTGCCTTCCCCCAGGCTTTCCAGCCTGAACACTTGGAACGTGTTGGTTTTGGATGGGGGAGGCAAGAGGAATTACTTGGTTTTGTCCATGTTCCTAATCAAAAGGTTCTTCCTTCTGACATCTGCTTCAAATGCAGGATTGGTAGGAATTGCTGTTTAGAGCATCTCTTTATATTTGTCAGCTGCCATCATCTTCTTGAAGGTTTTGTTGTGATAAGGTGGAACGTGAGTGCTGGAAATAGGAATGTGTAATTTATTGCCTAAAATGCCAAAAGCTGAGTTCAGACAACGGGGGATTTAGAATTCAGGAGAATTCTAGCTGTTTAGAAGGTAAACCAGCTGTGTGTTCTGACTGTTTGAATCCTTGCATAATGAGATTGGCTTAGGTTTTCAGCTCACTTCCAAATGAATGGGGGACTAATTGCAAATAGAGGTTGAAATGGAAGTGAACTGGGACTGGCAAAGTGGAGTTCATTGTAAAATAATATAAGGGAAACTTTAAAAGAAAAACGTTTTGCATGGACTATCAGTCTTAGCAGTCAATGAGATCTTCTGGCAACCCTATTTAAATTCAGATATGTTTATTTAACAGGATGGAAGGAGAATCCAGTGGAATTTGACTCTGTTTTCAACGAAAGTAAATATACTTGGAGCTGGGGAAGCCCAGATATTTTGCCAATGTTTGCAAAAGGTAAGGTTTAAACTTTGTGAGTCTTTGACATGTAGTTATCAGGTAGTAAAATAGAAAGACTTCAAATTTTGGAGTTAGAGAAGAAGCTGAATGAAGTATTTCCAGTTTGTACGTTTGTGTATACCTCATTTCTAGTTTGTGAATTTAAGGCTGGGTGGAGAAAAAGCAGCAAGCTTTTGAAGAGGACATCCCTGTTTATTACTCATCCTTTTAAATAGGCCTTACCTAATTCTATCAGCATTCTAGAAGAAACACACCCTTAGTTAAAAGCATCTAATATTTTTCCTTCGGTTGATGTTTAAAGCTCTTGTTTGCAAGGCTGTAGCTGGGGTTTTTCTTCCTCTGCATGCAGCTCCTAGTGAGTTGGGTGATAGAACTACAGCCATGGTTTATGAGTGTCTGAGCTGGAGAATTAGCTTATTGTGGGTTATTTTACTTCTAGTCCAGAACAGTAATGTATGAAGGGAAGAACTATATGCACGTAGGAACTGCCTGGTACTATTCCTGAAGCCGAGGTCTTTTCCCCATGGTGTGCAGTATCTTAAAGTCTTGTCTGCCCAGTGCAACTGGTCTTTGAGCATGCAGAGATTGCTGAGCAACACTTCAAACATTTAAAGGGTCTCCAAGTTTTTAATTTTGTTTTGTTCTTGGAAGAATGAGGGCATACACACACCCTTTCCCATAATCTCCAAGTAAATCAGACTGAAGGGAAAAGTGGACAAGCTAGGGACAAGCTGCTGTTCTGTTCTAAACATTGGCATTGACAAGTCAGACAAATGTGATAAGCAGGATAGGAGTGGAATCTAATTTTGGTTTAGAAAAAGTGTACATTGTATTTCTCGTGATGATTCTTGAACTTTTTCTCAACTCTAGTCCCTTCCCCCTTTCTTCCTGATATTCCTCACACACCCCCCTCTCTTCTGTGCTTTGCTTGATCCTCCTAAGTTTGTGGTAAACTGTAAAAATATCTCCTGATAATTTCCCATGACCTCAGATTACAGCTTGTATTTGGGAATATTGTGATGGTGGTTGGGGAGGCGGGCAAAGGTAGTACACTGTCCATGCACAGCTTATTTACGTTTTTGGAGATTTGTTCTTGGGAAAATATTTGAGAATTCAAGAATTTCCCAGAGCCCTGTCCTCCTACTAGTTTTGTTTGAGTAAGAAGATAAACAGAGGACTTGGAAGCAGCTTTGATGTTATCTGGAGGGATGTGCAAGGGTGATACCATACTGTTGCTGTGTCTCTCAACATGGCTTGTTCTGAGTGACGTCAACACTGGAGCTTCTTTTGCAGAGGGAGGAAAATCCCCCAAAATTGAGAAAGGTTTAGTGCAGCACTGTATCCAAGAAGTAGATGCTGTATGGGAAAACGATTCATAGTTTCGCATGGTGGAAAGGTAGATTAACTTCTTTTAGTAGAAGCAGATATTTCCCCTTCTTCCAAAGAGTTGTTTTACAATACAGAAAGGGTTTTGTGATACAAAGTTTCTAAAAAGGAGAAGTTTTATAATACAGAAGGGAATGGAAGCAAGTGTTTGTTCTTTAACTTTACTTTTACAAAAAAACCCAAAAAGGAGGTAGGGGAGCATAGCTCCATGTCTCTCCCTCTTTCCGTGTTGCAAATCAGTGAGGTCACAAGACTTTTCTTGTGTGTATTTTTATCATGCCAAAATGTTCAGAATTTTATTTACTGTTTCACCACTTGCATTGGATGATGCATAAACACCTGCTGGTTTTAGGAAGGAGAGAAAAATCCTTTTTTTCCTGCCATTGTCTATGTTCTTTAATTTCTTTTCCTGTCATGAAATAAATATTTCCGTGAAATGGTTAAGGATTCTATAGAGAAGGTAAGTAAAATGCTTACAGATCTTTCTCAATATCAAGATATGCATGAAATCTAAATTTGTCAGAGTCTCAATGACTGTCTGATTATAGTCTGAGAAAATGTCTGAAATACCTTTGGAACTGGTGTGCAATTTACTGACATTTTAAGCTGGATTAAAAGATGTTTGTTTCGAATAGTTAAACTCAAGATACACAAATTCAATGTGCTAATTTTAACCTTATTTTCTATGGTATTTTTAGATTGTGACCTTGAAATTGTCTGAAAATAATGTACTTTGAAAATGCCTGAGTTATTTCCAGGATGCTCTTTTAAATTTTGAGGGTTTTTTTCTAGACTTGCCAGAATTTGAGGTTTGACTTGAACGGCCCAGTCCTGTACTGTTTTGTCATGGGTCTAGGTTGGAGTATAATCCAGAGTATTAAATGACATGCTGAGAAAGGAGCTGAGGCTGTTACTTCTGTTAAGGGAGGTGGATATTAGTCCTTTGCACCCAGATGGCCATTTGGGGACAACTGGTACCAACTTTTGTTGGGGTTATTCCAGACAGACAGAGCTCTCAGTCTCTTCTTGGTGCATTGAAAGAAAAAGGAACTAGAAAAATGCAGAATTTGTCATGTTCCTCACCTGACTGTGTTTGACAGCTCTCTGATGCCCACACTGTCAGCTCAGTGTCTGGCTGTCCTTTTCCATTCATTCTTTTTTCACCTCTTTTGTGCCTGCAGACTGTAAGAGGGTGATAACTTGATCCCTCATCCTAATATTTGAGTGTTGATGCTGAGGGCGAGATGACGTGCCAGACAAGTCTGCAATAGGAATAGGTGGCGTCTGGTGTGGGAATTTCTGGTACTCCAGTTATTTCCATTTGTGTAATGGCAACACCAAACCCAATAAGCCTCTGAGCTCACTTCTAAAGGATGTTTTTAGTTCTGACTTCCTTTTACTTCTGTATCCCATCTTGGCTTCCTCATCCCCAGCCTTAAAGAAAGCATTGGGCAAACTGTTGCCTGCCACCTCTCAAACAACAGAAATAAAATAATATTTTGTAACATTTTGTGTAGTAAGTTTTCTTATTTAAACAAAATAATAAATTATTTTATAAGCTATGCAGGCACTCTAAAACCTTCCTAGCATGGCTTCATTTGCCACTGTTACTCTTCATAGCAATGCAGGGTTGAGTGGGTTGTTTTTTTTACTCTGGTAGAAGTTAGAAATGGGTAGGGAGTAGATGTGTTCCTTTGCCAGGTCTGCAGAGTGCGTGCTTTCGTTTGGCTTCTTTGGTGTGGCACCTCTCAAAGGCAGATGTTCTCAGGTTTGCTGTGACACTGCAGGAAAACAGTAAAGCACTCTACTCTCTTAGATCATCAGTCATCCTGACAGTGATGGCTAGGGCTTAGTTCTTCTTTTGAACTCCTTTATCCACCAATTGGAACTCCTTAAATCACTTTTTAATGCCTGCAAGTATTTTCTTCCTTTTCTTTCACACCGTGAAAACTGCAGTGAGTGCTCTGGGTTATAAGTAGTCGTAAGGTCTCCTGGGGGGCAGGGGGATCTGCACCAGAAATTCTGTGCCAGCTTTCATCTTCCTGGCCTGAAATACCTGAATCCCTTGTGTGGGTTTGGACATAATCTTCATTAAACAGCTCCCTCGTACAGGGATGTTAGTTCTTTCACAAGCCTGGAAGCTTACAAAACTGTGTTATATAATTGTGATATCCAGCAAATCAGTTATATTCTCTCTGGCCATCAAGTGATAGAAGAATATTTTTTCCTCTGGTAATTTATGTAGTCACGGTAGAAACAGCATCCCAGAGCTGTAACAGCTCAGCCATTGGCTGAATTATTTCATTAAACCCCACCAAACTGCAGATCTTTCCAGGACTTGAGAAGTTTACTTTTTTTCTAGGTCTTCATCTTTCTTTTCTTTGCTCTCTTGCAGTGAATGCAGAATGAAATTGCCTCGTCCAGATGCTGTGTTTTCGCATCAGTGGCCCTCATGTTGTACTTGATGCCTGAACATAGTCCAGTAGTTCTCCCTTTTATATTTTAAATCCATGTTTTAAAGATATTTGAATATTGTCTTTCTGAAATTTTCCATTTGGCTTTCAATACTGCCTCCTAGAATTGATGTACAGTAGCTAAGTTGCACCTCTCCTGTTGCCTTGCTTATGAGATTTATGGTGTTTCCCCAATTGATAGGACGTTGCCTTGTATGATTCAGTTCCACAACCAAAAGCTAAGTACATTTCTTTAAACAAAACCCTACCAAAACAAGGCTCTTAATGTGTAGCTTCCTCTGTTAGAAGTTTCTCCGTGAAATTCCTTGTTTCAAAACTAAATTCAGTTTAATTTGCTTTAACTGGGATTTTCTCTACTCCTATCTGTTCTTGCATACTTTTATTTCCTCACCTGAGCATTCTGGATAACATTGCTCCTCATTCCTCTTAAGTGCTGATAAGCTAATGAGTTAAAATGGTATCCAGGCTTAAAAAAAGCGTAAAGGATGGGAAAGTTTAAAATAAAGAGAACTTTTCATGTGTTTTTGACTATGAGAAAAGAAAGAAAATGTTTCTGTCTCCGATTCCATCTATATGGTTTTTGCAGGTGCTACTGGAGATCACGTTTATACATTTTGTTACACGGCAGAAAGTGAAGACTTTGGAGCACAAGATGCAGCCAAGCTTGACACATGGGTTTTTGATCATGTTAAGGTGAGCAGAGAGGTTTTTTTATGCTATCTGTAAGAAGCACAGCTGGATGTTAACTTTATCACAGAACATGCTAACTTTATCACAGAAGTAGACATCAAAAAATTGTTGAAAGACCTAGCACTTGAGGCCATAAGTAAAAATTGCTCAAATCAATTATCATGACTAGTGTAATGGAAGCTTAGAGGAAGTATTTGTTACGCAATGCTAATCAAAAATCCTAACACCAATAAAAGTACCCTTTAAAAACATTCTTGGCTTTTCTTTGTCTTACATTTGCATATAATCTGAACCCATCTTGGAGTGCTACAGACCCTTTAAAATCTTGAGTGTGATTAGTTAAGGATTTTGTAAAAAGTATTACAGCATACCAGAAATGGTAAGTCTTTACTATGAGAAAGAAATGGACAATATTATTGACTTAATTTTCGTTGGGCTTGCACCCACTGTATTTATACAGCGTGGCTTGTGTAGCTGCCTCCTGAGGATCTGCTGCGGTTCATGCTGTGCTGTGGCTGCCAGGGAAGTCATGGTTGGTTTGGAGTGGGGAGGGGAGGGAGGGCAGAGGCATCTCAGGCTCTGGAGCAGTGTAACTTGTTCATACACCATGGGTCAGTGCTGGTTCATGACTGTTGTTTTCTGCGATGCTGTTGCTGTAAGTATTGATAGTCCAAGGCACGTAGTTTCTGATTATTCATTAATTCCTATATTCATGTTATTCCATGCTAACTTACTTGTCCTGCATTAAGAAATACTGGTAGTGGGTCTCGGTGTGTTAATGTCTGTATCAGTGGAGCAGTTGGGTGAGTGACTTTCTGGATCCCAAAACAACGTGGAGTGGAGAGTTTCTGCAAGATCTCTGTGCTGTGTGCATTAACATTAGCTAACCAGCGTAAATCAAATCAAACCAAAAATAAACCCAAATAAATCAATAAACCGAATCAGCATCTGTTTTAGGAAGCCAAGGGTGAGCCTGCTTTAAACAGTGACGTAGGGTGGATAAGTTCATTGTAGTTTGCTGATTTTTTCAAAGGAAGTGACTTTCTGAGTTGGCAGGTGAAAAGATGTTTTTTCTAACTGCTGTCCTCTCCCTGAATGGGCACTTGTGCCAGGTTGTGTGTTGTAGTGTGTATGAATAATAAAATCCAATTAGGCTGTCGGTTACATGGGAGTAGCTGTTGCCTTCCAGTTGCACCCTGCTGTTTGGAGCAGCACAGGTATGCAAGGGTGGTACTACCTTTCTTTTCCTTCCAAACACCTAATGGCAGTTCTTTTTTCAGACTATAATGATGTGTTTAATATATATGTCACTGCTGATGACTTTTTTCCTTGGAACCAGCACCGTTATTCTAAAGAAATATTTTTGCCCATGTGTAAGTTTCATACTGTGAATGGGTAGGACTTGATTGGCTGTTGTAAAATTCCATTAATCATCTCTTCAATTACACATCATCGATTGCTTCAGAAGCGTGAAACTTGAGGCTGGCTGAAACTGAGGTCACTCTGCTGTTGTGAATCAAACAACTCAGCTGCGCTGGTGAGATTATATATAAGTAATAATGATAATTTGCTGAAATCTAAATTCTGCTTTGCCTACTTTTTTTTTTCCTCCTTTGAGTTTTATCTCAAATATTTAACCACATACCGTTTAACTCTGTTGGACAAGTTGGTCCATGGATTTCTGCCTCTTTAGGAAGTAAAAGACACTAACGTGTACTCCCTCTTTGCTGTGTAGTCAGTAGGTCCCAAGCATCACAAGGGCCACTTGCGGCTTCCTCTGCCCCAAAAAAGATGGGATTAAAATGGAGAATGGCTAGCTAATGTTTGGGCTACTAGTCCTGGCCCCCAGAAATTGCTTGTTCTCTTAAAATGCGCTAACTAGCAATAACTCAGTTGGTTAGATATGAAACTCTGACTAGTTTTTATTTGTATGGGTCAGAAGCGGATTGCTTAAATCATGAGCGGAGGAAAAAAAACGTGTGATACTTGGTAGTTCCTGTCATGTCTGCTCCTAGTAGAAGGTGAGGCCAACCCGTTCTTGGGACAGGGACAATTGAGTATAGACTAGTCGGGGTGGGGTTTTCATCTGCAGCTGGGTTAAAACTTGGTAATTTTTATGTGTGGTAATAGCTTGGGAGTGGCTTGGAGATCCAGATAGGTATGGAGTTGATTCACTGTGGGGATTTTTTCTGATTTTTGGGGTTTTTTTTAGAAGCCTTCAAAATAATTAAGAGACTGAGTGTATTTTAGTGTGATGTGGCCCGATTCTCAGTTATTTAGCCTTTACCTAGATGATAGTTTGAATCTGTGCTAAAGAGAAATTAGAGAGCGAAATACTGGGAGTCTAGGTTAACTACTAGGAGAAAAAAATGGTCTTTTTAATGCATTTCTGATTTTTTAAAAATATTTTGGAAAAGCAGTTTCGTAAGACTGAACTTTTTTTTTATTAGAGTAAAATGATTAAAATTCCAGGAACACAAACTGTCCTGGAGTTGAGTTCCAGTAACGGTCTAACGCAATTTCTTACGACCACAGGGTAGGATGTGCTCAAGTTATTCACTTGATGTCTTCTGACTTGAATGAACATGTAGATGCAGATGGCAAACATTTGGTTTTGGTTTGTTGGTGGTTTTTTTTTTCTTTTCTCATTTTGAACACAGTATTTTGTTCTTCCTTTGGCCCCTTTCTGCTGGAAGAAGGCCCAACCAAGCCTTCAGAGTGTCGCTTCTGTGCAGGGTGGGAGCAGAGAACTGAATGGTGTTAAACTTTGAAGCTCTGCAGACAGTGCCATGACCTGATGTTGATTTCTACCAGCGGATTTCTATACAGATAGCTCTGCTCTGACTAGCAGTGCAATGATTGAATGATTTCCTTTAAATGTGCAGGAAGGAGTCTTGTTCATGAGTGTGCTCAACTGATACAAAGCTGGCAGATATGTTTATTCTGTCTTTGTGCATTTATTTTACATCTGAAAACTGGCATAACTGTTTAAACTCTTGCATGAGCACAAATGGGCATGCACAGCTTTAATCAACCAATTTAATTAAGTTGTCCTGGATTTACACATGAAGGAACTTTGTGAAAGGAGAAAGTTTGTTTGGTCTCTTTCTTCCTGTACATCCATGCAGTCAGCAACAGTTTATCAGCTCTATTAAAGGATTGTGCTTCCCTGGAGGGCTCTGTATGGGGAACAAACGATCCCCAACAACTTATGTTAATCATCTGTGGAGTCCATACATTGTTCTGACAACAGTAAATCATGTATTTGCTGGACCTTCTAGGTAGTCTTCTTTCTTCTTTGCTTTCTCCCATCCAAGGAGGGAGATGATAATAAAAGATTTCATAGTTGTGACCAAAAGTCTCTTGTAATATTTTAGTTAGAATTCCATTATAATTAACTTTACTGTGAGTATTTTAATGGAAAACTTATCACTGATCTTACTAAATTGTAATTGTATTTATTATTTACTAAACTGTAAATACTAATTGTATCAGTTGTAGCCAGGGCATTATTTGTTGTTAGTTGCCAGAAAATGATAGAAGAGTTGCCAGAATCATAGAAAAGGAAAGTTGGAAGAAAGCTGTAGTGGTTGTTGAGTCCAACTCCCTGCATGAAGGAGGTCCAGTTAGAGCAGGCTACTCAGTCAAGTTTTAGTATCTTCAAGGGCAGAAATTCAACAACTTCTTGAGCACCTGTTCCAATATCTGGCTACAGTTATGGTTTAAAAAATAATTTTAAAATGTCTCTTTATCTTACTAAAATTTCCCAGGTTTCAGACTGTGAGTTGCCCCTTGTCCCATCACCAAAGCCCCCTGAGCGCTCTGTCTCAATCTTCTCTTCACTGTCCCAGTAGACGCTTGTAGACAGCAATGAGATGTCTCCCTAGCTGCCTTTTCTTGATACTGGACGTCCTGGTTTTGTCTGGGATAGAGTTAATTTTCTTTCTAGTAGCTGGTATGGGGCTGTGTTTCGGATTTAGGATGAGAATAACGTTGATAACACACTGGTGTTTTAGTTGTTGCTGAGCAGCGCTTACGCTAAGTCAAGGACTTCTCGGCTTCTCCTGCTGCCCTGCCAGTGAGGAGGCTGGGGGTGCACAAGGAGCTGGGAGGGGACACGGGCAGCACAGCTGGCCCCAACGGGCCAAAGGGATATTCCATACTGCGTGACATCATGCTGAACAGCAACGATGGGGGCCAGTGGCCGCCGCTCAGAAACTGAATGGGCATTGCTCAGCGGGTGGTGAGCAGCTGCATTGTGCATCACTTCTTTTGTATAGTCTATTATTATTGTTCTATTATTATTTTTATTTCTTTTTTCCCCCCCCTTCCTTTTCTGGCCTATTAAACTTTATCTCAACCTTTTGTTTTCTCGTTGTTAGTTAGCCAGAGGTTGGGCAAGCTGTTGGAGCTGGTGCCGCTCTGGGTTCCGAGGTGGCTGGAGCTGAGGGAGTGGGGGGATTTTGGTACGTTGGGAGCGGTGGGAGAGGAGAAGCTCAGGCCCTGCCTTGCTCACAACAGTTTCTTTCCCTTTATCAGTCTGCGACAGAAAAATACCTGTCTTCTAATGTTGATCTACGTTTGAGGGTTTAATTTTGGGAGTTTTCTGGTTTGTCTGGTTTGCTATTTCCTTTTATTTAATTAAAACCAAGAAAACAGAATTATACTGTATCCTGTAGATCACTGGGATGCTCTGGAAGGCTTCTTCAGTCTGCAGTCAAATATGTGCAGGTGGATGGACCCCTGTGGGGAAACAGAAACCTCCATGAAAAATAATTGTGTTGCTATTGAATGTGATCGGATTTTGTTCTTGTGTCTTTATGTGCTGGTTTTGGCTGGGATAGAGTTCATTTTCTTCACAGTAGCTATATTTTGGATTTGTGCTGGAAACAGTGCTGATAGCACAGGGATGTTCTCGTTATGGCTGAGCTGCGCTCAAAGAGCATCAAGGCTTTTTCTGCTTCTCACCCCACCCCACCACCAGTAGGCTGGGGGGCACAAGAAGCTGGGAGGGGTCACAGCTGGGACAGCTGACCCCAGCTGAGCAAAGGGATATTCCACACCGTATGACGTCATGCTCAGCATGTAAAGCTGGGGAAAGAAGAGGGAAGGGGGGGACATTCAGAGTGGTGGCATTTGTCTTCCCAAGTCACCGTTACGTGTGATGGAGCCCTGCTTTCCTGGAGATGGCTGAACACCTGCCTGCCCATGGGAAGTGGTGAAGGAATTCCTTGTTCTGCTTTGCTTGCCCACATGGCTTTTGCTTTCCCTATTAAACTGTCTTTATCTCAACTCGTGAGTTTTCTCACTTTTACCGTTCCCATTCTCTCCCCCATCCCAGCAGGGGCAAGTGAGTGAGCGGCTGTGTGGGACTGATCTGCTGGCTGGGGTTTAACCACAACACTTTATTTAAAATGTCTTTGGGCTTTAATCATTATTTTGTTTGGACAAAAGCTGAAGCTGAGAGCGTGCAAATATTAGTCCATGCAGCTTGAGTATATTCAGAGTGGGGAAAAAAGGTGGAATTGCATGCTGCTGTGGTTTCCCGAGAGGCGTACTGTGGTACTGTTGCTGCCAGCTGGACTTTCCTCTTGGTACAGTGGCTTTCATTTGCACAAGGTGTGAACTTTTAATTTTTAGGAGCTCCACCACTATCACAAGCGTGTGGTGGACTGCTCTGTGGTTCACTGTCTCTACCAGCATTTTCCCTGGACTTTTGTGTGAAATTTGAAAACACCTTGCTTTATGTTAGTGTGCTGGAACGTTCTCTGGATGCTCTTGGAAATAAAACTTTGTTTCCTTGGGCAGTGCTGTTACTAAGGAGATCATGTTGGAATAGCTGTCTGCCTGCATTTTGCATTGCTGCACTATGACTGGTCTAACACAGAATAGCCATGTCAAGACTCATTCAATCTGAGGGGAAAATCCCCCCTGGCATCTGCCTCAGGGATGCTTAAGTAGGACATGTGCAAGGCAGATGTATATTCTGTAGTTCATGTATTTGCAAAGTGTGGCTTGCTTTGTTCTGTTTTCATTTGGTTTCTGCACACAAATTGTAGCTTGGCATCTCAGTCCTGCAGAACCTGCTTCTAAAACAAAGGTATTTGAGACCTTTGCTTCCAGCTTGAAAGTGATAAACCAATGGGAATGTAAAGCCATAACTGGCTCTCAGGAATGGTTCATCATTGTCATTACGCAGGAAGCGAAGAAGCGATGATGTGCAGTTATTTGGTATTTCTACCTAAAGAAACTCAAACAAACAAAAAAAGAAACAAACAAACAAACAAAAAAAAAACAAACAAAAAAAAACCCTCAACTTGATGAGTGTTGCCTGTCTTAGTTAAGCTGAAACTTTGGACTGACTATATTGATGCTAGTTGTCCTCCTCTAAGTAAATTGGAAAGTAATTACTTTTTCTCATTCATAACTCTAACTCTTAGTATTTTGACATGAAAGCAGCTGTGGTTTAGTTTTATTAGGTTGCCTGTCATGTTTTTCCATTGCACTCAGGTTAATATCTTAATGGTTTATTCCATACAGAGCTTCTTTAATTCTTCCAGAAGTAATCACACGTTGTTCTCTGCACTGAACGACGACAAAGTGGTTTTGTTCCTGCATTTGCTAGGCATAGACACTAATGGACATGCTCATCGGCCAAACTCAAGGTAATTGAGATGTTAAGCTGATCTTTCATATTGGTTTTAAATGCACGAAGTAACTTTTTAACAGTGCTATTTATCAAGCCTGAAACAGTGCTTGCAGTCTTGAGGGTTTCTACAACAGGTCATGTATGTCACTATGATTACTTATGTTCTGAATTTTCTGGTGGTTTTTTTTTGTTGTTAAGGTCTTCTCTGTAGAAGTGACAGGTTTTTGCTATATCACAGAATCACAGAATGTCAGGGATTGGAAGGGACCTCAAAGGATCATCTAGTCCAATCCCCTTGCCAGAGCAGGACCACCTAGATCAGATCACACAAGAACGCATCCAGGCAGGTTTTGAACATCTCCAGGGAAGGAGACTCCACAACCTCTCTGGGCAGCCTGTTCCAGTGTTCTGTTACCCTTACTGGGAAGAAGTTCTTCCTCATGTTGAAGCGGAGCCTCCTATGTTCCAGCTTATATCCATTTCCCCTTGTCCTATCATTGGATGCCAATGTCCCTGATTATACTTCTCTACTCAAGTCTGATTTTTAGCAGGTCGCCTTAGTTATAGTCAACGTATGATCTAGAGGATATGTAGGAAATTGCAGTTTTAAATATCAAATGGAAACGGTTCTCGGGTTCCCCATGGCTGGAATGGTATAGTTGAATTTATAGACAACCATAAGCTCAGGAGTAATGCCTGCAAATTCCAGCATTATGTTTTAGCTCTCCTTAGGACACCTGAATGAAGAGAGAGGTTAAATTAATGGTACTCATCACTAATTCATCTTGAAGTGTGCTAGTTGAGAACATTCTTTCCATTTCCTCACATACTTTGAATGTAGAGTATTATATCTTTCTCTAGATCTTTGCATACTTTCAAAATCCTTGCTCTGATTTCCTACATCATTCTAAAGTTTGTACTTCCTGGAGGTCTCATTCTCTTTTTGTTATGATTTTTTGAAGATAGAGTTTTAAAACCGACTTTAGCAAAACCAACAAGTAGAAAATTAGTTGGCTGAAAGCTAATTGTGGTCAGTTTTTCCAAAAATACCCAAATTTTTGGTTTAGCCTCTACTCCACAAAACTCTGGGATCTGTACTGATCTGATTTCAATCATCTCAAAACAGTCCTTGCATGGTGAGATCTTTCTTTGCTATTTAGTTACTGGCTTAAAGTAATTTTTGAAACTTACAATTTAAGTATTAGAGTTTTCCAGAATTCCTTAGTTTTGGCGTTCTCCTTAACTTGCCTGATAGCTGTGAAGTGATTAAATTATAGTCTTTAATCAAGGACAGGTCAGATTTGAAATAGAAATAAACATCCATTTGAGACTGTAGCTTCAGGAACATTCGAACCATGCTGTGACAATTTAGTATGTCACGTAAGACTTGGAGGAGAAGAGATTTTACATCTAGGATGCCTTTTGTTAGCTAGAGGGTAAAGCTGTCTATAATCAAAGGACTGGGTATTATGACCATGGATAACTTGCTTTATACCAAATGTGAAAGCCACCTTAAATCTAATAACGTTTTTTCTTATTTTTCTAGGGAATACAAGGAGAACATTAAAATAGTCGATGAGGGTGTAAAAGAAATTGCTTTGATGATTGAAAATTTCTACGGAAATGATGGAAAAACTGCTTTTATTTTAACTTCTGACCACGGAATGACAGATTGGGGTGAGTCTTCTTAAATGTTGAGTCAGCTGAGTTTAAGGGTGAGTATCTGGATTGCTATTAGAGCTTTGTCCTACTAGAAGCTTTAGAGCCCCTGCTTTTATCTGATATTAAGTGTTGTGTGTGCATGAAACCCTTGCAAATCAGGAAATGGTTAATTGGCTCAGCCCTTTGACAGCTGAGTTGTGTATATGGACAGCAGAAATAATAAAAAAAAAAATTAATAGGATAAAGCTTAACTCCCTTAGTGGCTGCTAGTGGGGAGAAAAAGACCTCAATACCACCTCTGTCAGAGCCTCCTGGCAGAAAACTAGCCCAAGCAAGTGGAGGTTGTGGTGTTTGGTTGCCAGCTACAAAGCTGGTCTTGTTGTAGCCCATGTGGGACAGAAATAGTTATCTCATTGCTCTGAAGCACCTGGGAAAGGTGACAAACCTGTCTGAGAGCTGGTAAAAAAACTTTGGGAGGACAATTGTTTTACTTATTTTGGCTTTTTGGGCACACCAGAAAGGATGGGACTGCTGTGTGATCTTTCTAGAGGAGGCTGGCACTGAAGCGTTGGTGGAGCAGCTGAGAGTACGAAAAAGAGTGAGGCAGGTGGCCAGCCAGGCTGGTACCCACAGAGGGCACTGTGAAGGGCATGACCATAGTGGCCAAATGACTTGAGACAGTTTTGGCATAACTAGATTTAACTGTGATACTGTTGAACAAAGGATACTTCAAGCATGATCTTGGCAAAATTCAGCATCTTATTTTATGTGTGAAAGCCTAAACTTTTCGAATGGAAAGGATGCAGACTTCCTTTGTCGTCAGAGATTACAAAAGTATTCGTACATTTATTCAAAATCAGCCTAATTATCACCTGCTCATTTGCAAAATAGTCTGGTTTTAATATTATTTACTGTTGAGCTGAATGCCACTTACAGTAAAATTTTAATTTTAGCATAATTTTTTTGTCTGTTTCAAGTAATCGTCTCATAATTTTTTATAAGGGGGGGGTGTATATATATAGATTTTGTATAAATGATGTCTGATCATAGGGACCTCAGGAAGTCCAGCCACCTACTCAAAGCAGGATCAGCTTTGGGATCAGACACAGTTGCTTGGGTTTTATTCAGCAAGGCGTTTAAAACCTCAAAGGATGGAGCCTGTGCAACCCCCCTGGGCAGCCTGCTCCGCTACTTGCATACCCTTGTGGAGGGGAAAATGTTTCCTTTATCTGCAATCTGAACCTGCTTTGTTTCAACTTAAGGCTGTTCTCTCATCTTCCCACCGTGCACAGTAGTGAGACTCTGGCTCAGTCCTCCCAAACACTCTCACCGTGGGGTGCAGGTGGGATGCTCCGTTACATCCTCCACAAAGCCCTTTCTTCACCAAGCTGAACAAGTCCCAGTCCTTCAGCCTCTCCTCGCAGGACAAGTGCTCCTCCAGCTGATTTGGGGGCCCCTCACTGAGCTTATTCCGGATGGTTGATGTCTTTGCTCTACTGGAGGAGCCCAAAACTGGATCCAATGTCTAGAGGTTGTCTCTCGGCTACTGAGTAGAGAAGAATAATCCCTTCCCTTCACTGTGCTCTTGTTATCGCAGCCAGGAGTGCTGTTGGCGTTCCTTGCTGCCAGAGTGTGCTACTGGGGCATTCTTGTTACATACTGGATCCTCTCAAGGGGAATAAAAGGTGGTAGGAGTAACTCTCCGGCTTTGAGAACCACCAGTCTGTCATCTTTCTGTCTTGAAGAAGAAGCTTGGTCTTCTGCCAGAGGTGCTAATAACTTTGAAGTCGAGCAAACCCAGAAATGATGCTCAGCCCCATAGCCAGCAGTCTGGAAGCTGGTTCAGTAGCTTTTTATTCGAGCTTGTAGTATCAGCAACTGCTGCAGTCGTTCAGAGGTTATTTGCAGAATGGGATGTGCACCAGTTTTAAAACAAATAAATAAAAAATTAAAAGGGCAGGGGGAACCTATTAGGGAAGAGAACATGTTTTGAACTTGAGATGATCAAAGAAACTGTGGTTGTTGGCAAATACCAGTAAAATCACTTGCATCCTCAGTCTGATTCCATGATTTTTGCTTTAAGCTGATCTCAAATGGAACTGCTGACCAACAACATAGGTGGTCCCACACCCGCCCTCACCTTGGCTGCTTGGTCCTGCTACCATCCTGGCATAAGTACCTCTGTGTGGTACGCTGGACCAGAGAACAGAAAACTAAACAATAGCACCTTTTCCCTCCCTTTCCCCTGAAAAGGTTTGTTTGGAGGGTGCTAAGAGGTGGAGCACGGAACTGACCCAGCTGAAAATTAGATTTGTTTTTATCTTTTTCCCTGCTTATAATCCAGATTGGGCCAAAACATGGATCTTGTAACAAGAGGAGGGTGGCTACAGCTGTCTCTCTCAGCTGTCTCTGCCTTAGACTATTAATGAAGGTAGAGCCTCAGTAAAAGGCTGGTGGAGCTGGTGGCTCAGCTAAAATGAAAGCTCCAAAAAAATTGCACTTTCCTCCTGCAATAGAAAAAAATAACTGATGCCTGGAGGATGGAGGAAGAGTGCTCTCTCCATCTACTCCTTTCCCAAGCTCTGCAAAGAGGAGCAATTGTTGCTGCTTTTCAGCCCAGAGTGTGCCTTCCAAGGGGTTTCTGAACATTGGAAATCTTATTCCCAGACCTGTGTGTTCTTAAGCTTAGGGCCATTTAAAGAAAGCAAAGCTGGCTCTTCAGCTCTGCCATAGTGGTTGTTGTACAACCTCAGTGCTATTCCCAATTTCATACCCAATTCTGGTTTGGTTTTTGGAGGGGGAAAAAAAAAGCTATCCTTAAAACAATGTGTTATTCTCTGTTATATATATAAAAATAGACACACACATAGAGGGAAGAGTGTGTGTCTACACAAATACCAGGAAAATGTATAATCTTGTAGACCATGCAGTGACCAGCACAGAGTTTGCACAACGTCATTCCCTTTGAGACTGGGTTATCCCACGCTGTGGTACTCAGTGCAGCTGCTGTTGAGACATCACAGTTTTAAAGCTTCCTCCTTTTGGCAGCTGATATGTTAATCTGGAGGGGATTCATTTCCCTGGGAAAGGAAATCATCTTTTGTCAGTTTTTAAGGAGTGTGCTACCAGACTTTAAAACCTTAAAAACAGACTGGTATCACTGGGGAAAGGATGACAGTTGCAGTGCATATTGGCTCCTGGTTTTGAAATGGAAGTCTAATCATTATTTTGGGACCAGAGATCAGTTGTATATGATTTTTTTGCTCACATGTCTAATTTTACTCTGATCAACCGTCCCTGGTTTCCATGGGATTCTCAGGATAGGCACATGCATGTGTTTTGAATAGGTAACTCCTCTGCTCCTTGAAGCTTTGAAATACTTTGACTGCAGTTTCTGTATGTTGACAGCTTGGATTTTTTAATATGTTAAGTTATATCTTTCTAAGCTTGACTTAAGTGATACCGATTTCCCAACTTTCAACTTGAATTTAGCCTTATTGTTAGTGGCATAAAAATAAGTTACAAAGCTGGAATAGGTTGTCTGTAACAGGATTTTAGTACGTATGCTGTAACAAGAACTTAGTATATACATGTGTGTGTGTATATATATATATAAAAGCTTTAGTTTTACACTATATGTCTTGAAGTTTACACTTTTTTTTGTTTGATGTGTCTTAGGATCACATGGAGCTGGTCATCCCTCAGAAACTTTAACACCACTGATTGTTTGGGGTGCTGGGGTGAATTATCCACAGAAAGTTCCATCCCAGTTCTTTGAAGACAATTTTTTGAAAGGTAGGTGAAATCTAAAACTTAAATGCAAGATTTTGGTGGCAGGGGAGGTGTTTAACTGTTATACCTGTAGATCTTTACTGACTTTGGTTCCATTACGGTCAATATGACTTGCTTTGTGTGGTGCAGAAAGAAAAGCTGCTAGGGCATGCCTGGGGAGGATATTGCAAAATTGGGGAGATAATATCAGAGGCAGTTTTCTTTTCTAATCCTGGAATTGAAGGCTTTCTCTCTTTGGGTACAAGAGGCTATTCACACTCCTAAAACTTAATTCTTAGGAAGACTCCCAGAGGTTAAAAGCTATTTGTACAGAAACATGATAAATTGACATGTCCTAAGATTCTTTTCTAGCTTCACAGTACAACCCTGGGGACTTTCCAGGGGCTGTCTTGTCTCCCTTCCATCCCTATGACTGTTGAGAAAATGTAAACAGTCCTTCTCAATGCAAAACTGTGACTCTTTACTGTTTTTTTTCCCCCCCTTGTAATTTATTTAAGAGTAAACTTTTTACAAAATAATTAGTTTTTAATATTTCAAATAGTTAATGTAATAAATACCGGCTTACTGAAATATAAGTGGATTTCTGGAAACGTGTGTGATTAAACAGTGCAAGCTCTTCCTCTTTCATGTGCCCCGTTCTTACAGCCTGCTCTCTTTCTTAAGATGCCTTGAATGTCTTAGGTTTTTACGTGTGGTCAATGAAGCAATGACTTTCTCTTTTATTGGATTGTTTGTCAAGCTACATCAGAGAAGAGAAAACGGGCAAAAATGACTTTGGCCCTGAGCTTTTAACCCCACCCTGCTCCTGACAAGGTGTAAAACTGAGACATCTCTGATAAAATTGAAAATGAGTTGTAGAATAAAAATAGAAAACAGAGAAAAACCAACTGATTTTGATGTCTGTGATGGCTGATCTGCTATACTTCCCAGGACATTTGGTGTCTCTAAAGGTTGATCAGTAATAGTTGATTTTTAAAGCTGTCGGTTTCTTTGATTCTCAGTACAAACCTTAACGTTTGACTTTAAGTAATGATGAAAATGGTGTGAGAGCATTTCAGAAAAGATGAGTATTGAGCTGAATTCCGGATATACAATAGGAAAAGGTTTTTGGCTGTCATCTATTAGGAAGTACGTATTTTCTTAAAGGAGGGAATGTGTCTGCACCCTGCTGTGCCTGCTTCATGTTTTCCTTCTGATAGTTTGAAAAAGAAAAAAAAAAACAACAAACAAACCCAAAACCAAACCAACAACCAGACAAACGACTAAACATCCCAAAGCCAACAGCAAACATCAGAAACTCCTCCTGTAGTTCTGGACTTGCTCTGCAGCTTTCCAGCTGTTGAGCATGTTGTTGGTCTGTTTAGACACTATCTTTACGGGTTCTTAATTGCCAGGGATAATATCTGTTGGAGATTTGAGTCTCTCTGAGTATCTTGGGAGTTTGAGTCTTTATTTGAGTAGTAAGTGTCGTCTTAAAAAGTGGCTATTCTCTCTATGGTAGTACTCTATAGCTTCCAGTAGGCTATGTAGCTTAAAAGTAAAGAAAAAAATTGTTGTCAAAATGGAACTTGGCACTTTCGCAGGTCACTACAGTTCAGCTACTCCATGAAGTTACGATTGCGGGTGTTTTCACAAAGCTTACACATGAAAGAGAAGACACATAGAAGAGGTCTCTTGAAAAGTTCTTCGAATTGGCCTTTCCTGCTCCATACAAATGCAGCTGAGACTGTGTGCAGGAGAAGAGCATTTTCAAGACTGCTGTGTCACTGGTGTGTGTGGGTCTCTCACTTACATGTCTCATTGCATGCTCCAGTGTTCAAGTTCTTGCATCTGTTGACAATCTTTCCTTATTTCTCTGAGCTAAGAGTTGATGGAAACAGCAGAATATTTCTAATGGTGACAACCTTCTCATGCTCTCCTCAGTGCAAGCAGGCTGTAGGCAGCTCAGTGAATTGTCTCTCTTCTCATCGTTGCCATTGAGGATCGATACCCCCGAAGGCGGTGCCAACAGGCAGGACTTTGTCCAATTTGCCACGGAAAGATTAGCGCGCTCCTCGAATGGCCGGAAGGGTACAGTGTCAGCTCTGGGATGACAGCCTTCTCCTCATCAGTCCCTTCACCTCTGCTCTGCCTTCCCTCAGGCCTGGCCATGTAATCATCTTGGAACGATTTGTGATGGCAGCCCTGCATCCCATGGGCGATACGTAGTATTACCCGTTTGGCCGTTGACTTGACCTTTCTTCAAAAAGAAAGAGAACATAGAGCTGCTCTCCAGCTCCTCAGCCCCGCAGGGTGTTCTTGGGGCACAAGTCCAGAGAAGCTTCTAAGTGAAGGCACAGCCTTCTGCAGCAGAAGGACACGGGATGGTTGTTTTCATCTGTACACCTCCCTGTTTCGGAAGGGGCTCAGCCTGCTTTAGAATCCTAGAATGGTTTGGGTTGGAAGGGACCTCAAAGATCATCGAATTCCAACCCCCCTGCCATGGGCAGGGACCCCTTCCACTAGACCAGGTTGCCCAAAGCCTCATCCAACCTGGCCTTGAACACTTCCAGGGATGGGGCAGCCACAACTTCTCTGGGCAACCTGTGCCAGTGCCTCACCACCCTCTGAGTGAAAAATTTCTTCCTTATATTTAATCAAAATCTCCCTTCTTTCAGTTTAAAGCCATTGCCCCGTGTGCTATCACTACAGGCCCTTGTAAAAAGCCCCTCTCCAGCTTTCCTGTAGGCCACCTTTAGGTACTGGAAAGCTGCAATAAGATCACCCTGGAGCCTTCTCTTCTCCAGGCTGAACAGCCCCAACTCTCTCAGCCTGTCTCCATAGCAGAGGTGCTCCAGCCCTGGGATCATCTTTGTGGCCTCCTCTGGACCCGCTCCAGCAGCTCCATGTCCTTCTTGTGTTGGGGACCCCAGAGCTGAACGAAGTATTCCAGGTGGGCTCTCAGGAGAGCAGAGTAGAGGGGCAGCTGTGGCTGTACCCCTTCACTGCTTTTGCCTCTGTGAGGTTTTACATGAGACTTTCTTTGGTTCATGTAGCCTCATCCTCAGCCTTTTCTTGAACCAGCACTTCCCTGCTCTTTCCCCTGGACTATTTGCATCCGACTGCCCAACGGGCTGCAGGAAAAGCAGGGCAGGATAAAGAAAAAAAAAAACATCCCTGTCAAGTAAGTGTAAAACTGTGCTGAGCACTCTACAGGAAACCCAGGCAGTGAGCTGGAATTGTAAACCAGCATGGGCAGCACATACACCAGTGCCCCTCACTGCCAGGGGTACAGCCCGGGATGGCCGGTCTGCAGGTGTGTCCTGGTCCTCAGGAGCTCCTGGCTCAGTGTCTCACGGCTCCTGGTCCAAGGCAGATGTCTTCAACTCTGTGCCTGTTGGGAATATCTGAGTAGGGGAAGTGGAGAGGTAAAAGCTTCTGAAAAAGCCAAGTGTTTCTCTAGCAGAGCTACAGTTTCTTCATACCTTAAGCACATCGTGTACATGTAGACAATTTTCCAATGTTTTTCATTGGAAAATGTTATTTAAAGGAAAACAGAGAATGCATTTATGTAATAGAACTGTGGGTGAGAGTCTATATCTCTAGGAATACAAACCCATTTCCTTTTCTGGGAAGTAAAAGGAAGCAAACTTGTTTATTTTGCTGTGAGTTTAATACAATTCGTGATTAATGGCGGTAACGCTTCCCCTGTGTTGCCATGGGAACTCGCTGCAACTGTCTGTCTCACTGCTGTAAAGGTACATGGCCGCTCTTCAGGGTGTTCTTGGGACCAAATGGCACTGGACCAGTACTCAGACCCCCAAAGCTGGCAGTGGTGTGAATTAATTGCTGAAAATGAGTTTGGTACATCCAGTACTGCAGATATGGATGTTTCCTTTATCGGGCTGTTTTCAGCAGAGGCAGCTTTGGGTCTGGTGTAGACAGGGTGTATCGAAAGGTGGAGAAGGGGTGGTATGGTTTAGGATTTGAATGCCTATTTGGAGAAAATAAATAAGGTCGAGCCAGACTTTTGAGTGATGGTTTACCACCATTTTTCACGAAACCTGTTTCTGGTGCGTTTCCACTTTTACGTGACATAAACCCAAAGGATGATTTTGGGCAACACATGATTTTTGGCTGCACCGTCAGTAGCCTGAGGTGCCAGGTGGACTGCTGCTTTTGTCTGTGTCATTTCTGGGGTGTCATTTCAGCAAGTGGCATGAGCGGAATGGTGACTGGCCCGCTTTCTGTGTGTGCTGAGGAAGGTGACTGTGCCCCCGTTGCCAACATTAAGCTTGGTTCCCAAGTTGAGGGTAGGTGCCCCCAGTGTCTTTGCTGCATACTTGAGATGTGCTCTAGGTAGGTCATTGACAGTATTTTGAGTAGTGTATCAGCAAATCTGTTTCAGCCCCTGTTGAGTTTTCCTGTGTATCTGTTTGGGGGTGGTGGAGGTGGTGGTGTCTTTTTCCTGCTCATACCATTGCTGTGGATAGTGGGGCAGCAAATTTAAATTTAAGCATTAGGAAAAGAAGATATGGCGGGGGAGAGGGGGGGGAACAAACCAAACCTTGCTAAACTCTGTTTTTAAATAACTCTTCACTCTCCAAGAAAACAGACAATTTCCTCTTTATTTCCTTAGAGGTTAATGGAGAGCGGGAAAATACGGTTTTGAACCATGTTTTTGTATGATGCACCACAGCTTTAGGGGCTTGTATGTTTGGCTTTGTGTCTGCCTTCGTTGTGGTTGTTCTGATTGCTAAATCGTTGAACTTTTCCCTTGAGCTTGCTCTTGGCCTGTATTGCTTCTGGCAAACATGAAGTATGTTTGTGCTGCTCTATACCAGTATACTGGGGACCTTAGGTTAACCTTTTTAAAAAACTATTGAAGAGATTTAAACAGCCCTTCTCCTAAAGCTGAGTTTGAATCTTTTAGTTGGCACAGGAGGTAATACATCACTTTCTATACTGTACTGAGAAAAATAAAAACCTTGGACTTTCTTCAACTGATCTGGGTCACAATTGCAGGCAGTGATTTATCCTGATGGATAAAAGAAAACGTGAAGTGGAATGGATGCATTTTATTGTTTCTGCCGGTTGAGTTCCATCTATAACCCATCTTGAGCTAGCATCCTACAGCCAAATTATAATTTTCTTTAGTAATAACACTTTGCAGAAAACAGCAACAAGACAGTAAATGTCAACTGAATTATCTCTGTCGAGTCCGTGTGGATTAGCTGTTCATGTGCTCTCTTTTCTTGCAGAATGGAAACTGGAGAACTTGAAGAGGCTGGATGTCAATCAGGTATCAAACATGCTTAATTCAATAGCTTATAAATTTTCACCTTAAATCACACAAAACTCGTAATTTAAACTGATGGAATTTGAATGAGTGCTCACACTAACGTAGCATTTCCCTGGAACGTGTTACTTCAGTGTTGGAGTTGCAAGAACCGCACCCGTGCTGAAGATAATACGAAAAAGTTTCAATTGCTTGTTAACACACGTGGCAGCTACGTACAACTTCTCTTCCTGAAGATGCATTGTCACACCATTTTTGGTTATGTGATCATATGCTTCTGCAGAAAGAGTGCAGTATAACATGCCAGGAACTCCTTGAAAACTTGGTCCATTATCTGCAAGTGACTTAAATAGCATCTAACGTGTTTTCAGTGTAGGATTTGCTTTTGCAAACCTTGAGAACTCATTTGTGATACTTTCCCTCTCCTCTCTACTTCGAAACCGTTCTGGAGCTGAGCTTACACTTCCTCAGTATCTCCTGTGAAGGTGCCCACCTAAACACAAAGAAAGCATGGACTGATGACCATGTTTCCTGCATTAGTGAGCATCTGCCCTATGCTTTTCGCTACACTTGAGTTACATGTGCATACGTTTAGTGTAGTTTTTTCAGAGCTATCTGTTTCAATGTCTATTTGTCACTTTTTCCAGGAGTTGCTGTAATTATTGAATCCAAACCAATTCTCACTATACTGTTAAACTGTGGCTTTTTTCAACAGGGTCTGTGATTATTGCCCAGCCACTTAGCAATTTCGAAAATTTATACTGTAAAAGGAAAAAAAAAAAGGTGAACAGCTTAACCCTTGTTACTAAATCAGCTGAGCTTTTTTAAATTATTGTGATAACACCCATACATGTGTGCACTTGAACCTTGTTTCCTCTTACTTCCTATCATCCTGTGAATCCCAATATATGAATAACAAACTCCAAACCCTCTCAAACAAGGGAAATAAATTCATGTTAGAAAGTTGAAGTGGGGAATGTTCTGGACCAGCTGCTTTCAGCAAAGCCCTGGTACAAAATTAGAGATGAATTTTCCCCTTGACATTGGCAGGAGTTATGGGGATGTTATTTTGAGACTGTATAGAAGAGTCTCAAGTGTCACTTTGTTCTGGGTAACAAGAGTCCCCAAGGACAGAGCTTTTGTTCTGTAGTACGTGTGGGACTGTGAGTAAAAGCAACAAGCTAGACTGCTGCTTACTCTTACACTACGTGTGTGTTGTCCTCTACAAATAATGGTTTGGAGTCTCCTTTTGCACAGTAGATCTGAGGCTGGAGCAGTGTCTGTGATTTCAGTATAGTTTCTTCAGATTTATGTTTTAAAACCAAAGAATTTTGGTGCATGGTTTTATATTAAAGACAAATATAAACCTGGTGAGAGCCAGCGTTTATCATCACAAGTAGAAGGTAGTGGTGACACTTCAGGAGAAGCCTTGGTGTAGATTGAAGGACCTTCTTGCAGACTTGAGTAAAAGTGCAGAATCCCCCTCTGACACAGAAACATGGGATGAGGAGTGCTGTGAAAAGCAGAATGTTCAGGGTGCTGCTTAAAATCGTAAATAAGAAATGAGTTCTTTTTGTGGTATAAATAGTCATAAAAAGTGGCGTACCTCTGAGTGCAGTGAAAGAGCTACTGAATTCCTGTGAATAAATACTATGGAATTTTATATTTGCTTTTTAAACTAAACGCGTTTTTGAAGCTTTATCAGTACTGGAGCTTCACATTTTGAATCTGATCATGCCATGATGACTACTGGAAACTAAAAAAATTATTATTAAGGAGTTTTGTGTGTTGTAACTTCACAGTATTATACCATTTACTTTTGCAAATGCAGATACATTAAAATGAAACTGGATTTATTTACTCTGGAAGCTGGAACTATCTTAAAATGGGGATGCTTCTGTTTGCACAGGCTGATATTGCACCGCTGATGGCTTCCCTCATCGGTGTGCCTTTCCCCCTGAATTCTGTGGTAAGAAGCCCAAATGTTTTTCCATACTATAGAAGTCTGCTTGCAAAGAGGTGTTGAGGACAAGACTTGAGGTGTGTGAGGAGAAGGGTTATAAATTTGGGAAACTGCTAAAGGTTATGGAAGCTGCTTGTAGTTTTAGCTTTATATGTGTGTCTTCAGTTTGGAGCATAAACTCGGTCTTTTTATATGTTATATAGTGCTTTCAATTGGGAAGGCAGCTGATGCTTTTATAATCTGCAACTTTATACTCTTGAGCTACATTAAAGTTTTTTTGGTACTTTGTTTTTTAGGGATGGTAAAAATGCTATATGGTTTGAATAACACTTGATTTTGATCATGAAAGCTGAGCCTGTGAACAAGCTGGTTCCTGCAATTTAATGTTTAATTATTTCTTGTTTAAACTAGTGTACTTTCTTCAGATGGTATCTTGTGCCTTTAATTTAATGATCAGTGAGTGCTTTCACTGTGAGATGGCTTTTTCTTTGAATTTCCTTTGTATATTATTACTTAGTCCAAAGGTTGTCTCATAAATATCTAATTGACGATTAATGTTACATTAGTGTGTTCTCATGCTACTTGTTTCAATTTTAAAACACCGACTTGCAGCACATTTGCTGAAATATTTCTTGTGGAGACTCTGCCCCAGATTCTGTCCCCCTGTCCTGCACTCACTGCTGGCCATACGAGGAAAGCTGCCCGACACAGGGTGGCACGGGAACTGCTCGCTTTCCCATCATGAGTACTGGGTGAGTCAGGCCCAGGCAAGTCTGGATAGAGGACTTTTAGGTGTTTCAAAATGGCTTCTGATCAAAAGTTGAGTATAGAAGTATTTTATATAGTAAAAAGTATTACAATATAGTATATACTTTAATAACAACTTCCGTTATTTGCCTTTTTTGCATTTGTGTAGGAGCTGGGATATCATGAACAGTCCCTGTAATGTTGAGAAATTATGTGAGAAGAGTATTTTTGAAGGAGTTACAGTAGTTATTTCAGCAGTAATTTCAAGTATTCTTACAGCTCATTTGGCCTGCCATTCAGTTAGAGAAATTCCTGGTTTTTCATTTTAATTTTCTTTATGTATATATGTATTTTTCGTCCCCAGGGAACTCTGCCTCTTGAATATCTGAACAACAGCGCTCACTTCAAAGCAGAGAGCATATTTACCAATGCTGTTCAGATTCTGGAGCAATTTAAGGTAACTAAACATATGGTACAGAAAAATATTGTTGTGTGTAAAATAATTGAAGTAGGACACAGGCTGTATATAGCAAGCTGTAATTCAGTGGACTAAAACGGGACGCGCTTACTGGATGATGCTGATTGACTAGCTGTGAGCCATACCTGAAGGAGCATGAAAGACTTTCCTAAAGAGTTTTTTTGTAAGAAGAATGAATAACTTTTTTCTTGATTCTGAACATAAACACTAATGTTTATTGATGTTAATGTAAACCTGCCTGCAGTACGTAGGTAGAATCTGGGTGCTGATACCTGAAAAGGGAAATATTGCCGTTGCAACAGGGACTGGGAGACACGGCTCTAAGTCAGGATCAGTTATACAAACAGATCTAAAAGGTAACAGGCACCTGTCCATTGACAAAATTAAATTAGTGGCCTAATTAACTTTTAGCTAAATGCTGTTGTATCTGTTGTTTTGCTTTGCAAGTGTTCATCTCTGGCTTCTCTGTCTTGGTTCATCTAATATTGGATATTACCTTGTTACGAGAACGCATATGTGGTCCAAACAAAGAAAGGTTCTGTTTCACTAGATGTTCGAATAAGAAACAGTCCCAAATTCAAAAATCACAGTTTTGGCAAGACATGGAAGTGCTCTGAGGGGAAACTATCCTCTTCTCAGACAGGAAGCTGAGCCATGCAAGAACTGTGGCCCTGTCAGGAAATCTGTGTGATGAGAGTGGAACAAGGAACTGGTATGAGATCACCTGCAAGAGATTAGCACCTTCTGTCCCTTGAATGCCAGGTTCCAAAATGTAGTTTGTGTGGATACCAGGTTGGCAGTGTCAGCAGCAGAATCACTTCCAATTGATGATGGGAAGCTGGCATGTAGCAGGGGAGGTGACTGGTGGGCTGGACATGAAGTTGAAGCATGCTGATATAACCTCCACGGTTGGAAGACCTCTGCTCTAAAAATTAAAGATGTGACTCAGGTCTTTCTCAGTTAAATTGATGTCTCAGGGATTATTTAAAAAGAGAAAAAAATTCTCATCCTCCTTTATTTTTATTCTGATATTTTGTAATGCTAAATTATCTGTTTTCTTGTTGGCTGTCTTGTTTCTAGCATTGTTTTGGAAGGATGGTGTGTGGATTTCCTTTGAGTTTCTCTGCTGAAGCAGAAGTAGCGTGCTGGCTTAGATGTGCCAAGTGGCTTTTTACTTTTCCTGTGATGGACTGACCTGACCACAGTCTAGAGAGGATGTTGCCTTGCATGGATAGGATGAGATGTGCAGGTTGCTACTTGGAGCTGGCAGATTTGGGGAGCAGCATGCTTGAAAGTTTCTGTCTGCGCTTTACCCTGGCAGCCAGACTTGAGTCAGGCTGCTGCAGGAGGCCTTAAAGATGTTTTGAAGAGCGTTGGGCAAAGTGGCTCTGACAGCATCAAAACCTTCCGTTGTTATCCAGGTGCAGCTTGATCGATCTAACAGCATTGCTTTGGCAGTGTTGCTGCAGTGTTGTTGCTGTGTGGCGTAAATAATACCGGTTTCTTCGAGAGAGGTTGTCACTTAAGTCTGGTATCACTTCTAGCTGTATCTTCCCTTTATCCTGAAAACTGTAGAAGTCCTGTGAAAATCACTGGCTGGGCAGTGGTTTATTTTACCTACTTTAGAACCATAAAATCACAGAACGGTTTGGGTTGGAAGGGACCTCACAGACCACCCAGTTCCAACCCCCCTGCCATGGGCAGGGACACCCTCCACTACACCAGGTTGCTCAAAGCCTCATCCAACCTGGCCTTGAACACTTCCAGGGATGGGGCAGCCACAGCTTCTCTGGGCAAAGAGAAGTTCTTTAGAGCAGGTCTGGGTTTCCAGGAACTCCGAAGAGTTACACTTATAGGAGTGTAACACTCCATTTTACTGGACAAGGTACCAACAGCGTGATTTCATTCCTTTTCCAAAGTCTTAGAGCTCTTCAGTGATTTTTAGTGTAATTCCTAATACAATTTTTAGTCTTGTCGCAACTTGTGTGTAATGGTTTAATGCTTTTTTATTAATGCAGGTTAAGATGAGTCAGAAAAAAGAAACTACACTGTCGTTTATGTTCACACCATTCAAGTAAGTGTCTGTAAAAACTATATATTTATTTTACCTGATTGCTTGTCATGTTGCTTCGGTGTTTCAGTGAGATGCAAGACCAGAAATTCAGTCTCTTCAGTCTTTTTTTTAAATTATAGTGTTTATCTGACTGTGAAACTTTGCATTAGAACTCTATGCAATTAAATTCCATTTAAAAATTCTGGTTAGAAGTAGATTTTTTTTTTTAAATCTATTCCCTAATTTAGTTTTCCCTTAAGGGTTATTTGCCTAAGCTTTTTGACAATATAGCTCTACATAGATTGCACAGTAATTTTCACTGTCTTTATTTTTTTGCTATGGTCTTTTACCATTCCTTTGGGGATGGAAGGCCCAGTAGGGTCAGGAAGTGTAATTTTTTTCTTGTTTACATGTATGTAAAAGTTGAGGGAAGAATTGTTTCTTCTGCGATTTAAATTCTAATGAAAAACAAACAAAACACCTTGTATCCCAAAAAAACACTCAGAATCTTTAGAATTTGTGCTGCCTCGTGTTTGTGTTTCAGGGCCAGGAAGGAGCATCTGTAGCGATGTGAGCTCTGTGTTCTGGTGCACGGAGCAGTTACTGCCCCGCTCGCCCTTCAGTCTTATCCAATTAAAGCTGCTTTTTCATAGATTCATAGATTTCTAGGTTGGAAAAGACCTCAGAGATCATCGAGTCCAACCGTCCCTAATCCCCATTAAACCATATCCCTAAGTAGATCATCCACCCTATTCTTAAACACATCCAGGGATGGGGACTCAACCACCTCCCTGGGCAGCCTAAAAGCTTTGCTATGGGTGGGCGTGATACTGTGCAGTTCAGCTTCCAGTTTGTGGAGTGTTCTGGAAACGCTTGGTCACCAAAGGCAGCTGTTTTCCTGTGGGAAATACAACTGATGTTAATTAAGATCTTTAAATCATGGGAGCTGTGAAAAATAGTTGAATTATCTTTCTGTGAAGTGTGTTTAAACACCGAGTAAGACTGCTGTCTTTCTGAACAGAGATTTACTGTGTTATTTTATGCTAACTTCTTCAAAGGGAAGGGTTCAAGACAGTCTCTGAGACATGAGTCAAGTCGTTCTTGGGTACATAATGTTTTAAATCAAATTCTTATTAAGAATGACACGTGCGTCAGCAAAGAATTTACTGATCTGTATGGAACAAAAATGCCATGTGGAAAGGATGGTCAATCACTTTTGATTCTGTGGGGGAAAACTATTAGTTTGATTTCCCAGGTCTTGTTTAAATTTTACCTTTCCTTAAGAAATGAGACTGATTCTGTAAAATAGGATGTGTTTTTCTCAGTGCTAAATTTATCCTCAAAGGAACTAAGTGTTGTTGATTGCCTTATGGACTGATGTCTGTCTTTTTTGTGGTATGTTGGATTGTTTATAAGTAGAAACACCTGAGACATTTATGACTTTGAAAATATGACTGAAACTTAGTATGAACATGTTATTACTTTGGTATGGTCCATTGCAAAAATAAATTTATTTTACTTTCTTTAGGTGTTCTTAAAGAAAAGTTCTTAAAACTTTTTCGAATCAGAATTTGGGTTAATGGTCCTTCCAGGAAAGATGAGACCAAAGTAATTCCTTGCATGTGTGAATTACCTTACAAAAGGTGCCTATGCTTGCATGTGGTGTGGGTAAAGACTGTCTTTGGTTCCTCAAGATGATATTGTTCACTCTAGGAAAACAGAAGATGACTCATGTCATATGTGGCCACACATTAATGCAAGTACTCATCTACGGTGCAGGGGAGGCAGGGGCAGAATTTGACCAGATTCTAGGTAGTCTTCACCACTCTCCTTGACTTTCAAAACTTGGCCTGTGTCTGGGAAGCTACCAAGGGGCCTTGTCCAGCCGGTTACTAGTAGTTGGGATGAAGTAGTTGAACACCAACTTATTTTTAAGCAGATGAGTAACTTCCAAGGGCTTCAGCTTGCAGAAACTGAAGGAAAACCTGAGCTAGTTTTAGACATGACCTGTCTACAGATCTGTCCCCTCTGTCACATGGAGATAACGAGCTGTGTGTGAGCCCTGAACATGAGCCTGAGCTTCAGCTGCAGGTCATGATCTGGTGCATGAGTGTAAGGCAACCCTTGTCAGTTCTTCAAACAAACTTTGCTTGAATCAGAGCGAGATGCTCGGGGAAAGGCACGTACCCCCTTCTGCTGGCTTTACTGTGACATTGTTTTTTTGTGATAGATCAACAGTATAGAATAGTACAAGTACTCTATCTTTTTCAGGAGAATTTCAAAAGCAGAGTTGGGGATAGCTTACTTCTGTATCTGGAGCAAGAGATCTCTTGGTATACTGTGCTACATTTCAGAGTAATTGGTAATGGTATGGAGATTGTGTTTCTGAGCAGCTATATCCTATTTAGACTCGTCAGCCCGGGTTTAATGGAAGGTTTGCCCACTAATTTGTGTTCATCTATGGTTGGCCTTGTCCGCTGCTGCAGCTGAGCACGGTTCTGTGCCGTGTTTCCATTAGGCAATATTGTCCTTGGTTTGAGACAAGAATAGCTTCTTCCACCACTGTCCTGGTTGCAGCTGGGATAGAGTCAGTTTTCTTCTTAGCTAGAATAGTGCTGTGTTTCAGGTTTAGTGTAGGATTTGGTATGAGAATAATGTTGATAATATACTGGTGTCTTTAGTTGTTGCTAAGAAATCAACTAACTCTATCCCAGCTGAAACCAGGACAACCCCTGTTCATTAATTTGAGTTGTTGTGCAGGGGAGTTGTATCCATTTTAATCCTTCTGGTGGCTGAAGTCTGTAACTTGAAGCTCAGAAAACGTGCTCCAGCATAGTGCTTTATTCTTTCCTTGTTTATTGGAGGTAGTGAAACATAATTGATGTCTGAAGTGCTTTAGGACCATCAGGTTTATATAGAAATCGAAAATGTCAATATTAAGCTTTGGAATATTACAGATTTTTTTTGTATATTTCAGCATCTTGATAACCTGAAAATGAACAAAGATATATCTTAGAATTTCCTTTCTTATGAGGTCTGTGTAACAGAAACATAGCTATGAGTTCAGAAGAAATCCAAATCTAAAATTTCAGATTGAGACATTCTGGCTTCAGAGAAGTTGATACAATTATTATTGAAGATATATTTATCTGGGAGGGGGAGAATATGTTCACAAATAATGTGTTCTGTAGAAACTACAACTTAACCTCAGCTTAATTTTTCTGCCAGAAATAACATTGAAAAGTTTGTGTTAATGTCCTATGGGGAAAATCCTGTTTCTGAGCTTGATTTTCAACTGTTTTTTTACCAAGTGACTAGAAAACTGTTTATGACCTTCAGATGCAATGATATAAAACCCAGTGTCGAGTGGTGTGTTGAATATACTGCACCGAAAACATTAAGCTACTTCATATGTGTAGTACAAGCCTATTTTTACTCCTTATTTACACAGTGCTGGCAACAGAGAAAGCTTCTGGAATTGATATAAGGCTTCTGATTTCCACAGGGAATCTCAGACCTAGTTGGAAGCGTGGCTGGCACAACGGGCAGGGAGTGAAGGAAGCTATTAGAAATGTGCCCTTTCCTGCTTGTATCTAGGTTGCATTTTTCTCTGAAATCCATCTGTCGAGTGTATAGCGATGAGGATAATGGAGCTGATCATTGTGGTGTGTGATGGAAACCTCAGTAGTGTCTACTTGACCAGGTTTGAGGCAGGTTAGAACCTGGGTAGCTGTATCTATTAATAAGGATGTGTCTGACTGCCAGTAATGCCATTTTCATTTTGTCGAAGTGCCTTCATCAAGGAACAAATCTGTGTAAAAGTGTGTGCTTGACACTACCTGTGAAACTGTTGGAAATACTTTTCAGAAAGAGCTCAGCTGCAAGTGTCTGCTGATTCTGCAAGGCAAGGTGCACAGCCTGTGCCCAGGGCAATGAATATGCCAGAGCAGAAGAGCATCCCTTGCTTGTATGCAAATTACCTGCAAGGCTGATACTGAACAGTTGTTTAGAATACTTGTCTGCAATTCCAGTTAGATACCTGGAGGGATTTACTGTCTGAAATGATTTTTCCTTCCCACTTCCTTCTGCTCCCTACCTTTTTTCCCAGCTATGAAAAACTTTTCAGAAATTATTTGCTTAGCAAAACCAGAGGCTTTTCTTATCACGGTTCTGAGACATAGGCACAACGCTTTGACCTTTGTGTAAGAAAGGCAGGTACCATGATGCCAGATGCTTTGAAGGAGGACAAATCTGAAGACTGCTGACAGAAGAAAACTTATGTCCAGGGTAGCAAACTATCTTATTAGCTTTCTGACCATTTGATGTACCTTAAGGCAACTGCAGAGCTGGCACAGTTTGAAGAGGAGTGTGCCAAAGGGGCCAGATGCTGCTGTTGCAAAAGCATTCCCAAAGCTGGCATCTCTGGGCTGTGAAAGTAATCTTACAAGGAGTAGCAGGAGGACCATTATAGTGAGGTGAGTGGATGGGACATCAGTTGTTGCACTAAAATCCTCTTAACCAATTAATGCATTTTGGTTATCCCAACAGGTACTAGAGGTTTAAGTTATTAAATTGCACAAAAGCTCAGGAGTGCTTTTTGTGTATGCCTGGTGTATACAGTGCTGTCAGGGAAGATTGTGCTTCCAGCTGTTCAGGTTCTGGTGCCTCACAGTAAGATGGCAGGAGCAGTAATTTAAGAATTATATACAAAAAACAAGATATGAGCAGCTGAATTAGAATCAGTGCTTGCTTTCCACTAGCTGTGCTTTTTTTTGTTGAATGTCTTGAGCAGTTTATATCAATATGGATTTTTTTAACAGGAAACAGCTTAAGTGTCTTAGTGAGGTTTGTATCTTCTGGTATCTGAAAGTCCCATACCATCTTGATGCTGCATTTTTTAAGTAGCTTAATTGTTTGAATACTACATTTTAACCATCTCAAATGCTTACTTATGTGTGTATAATAAAGTTATAACTTGCACAGTTGATAGAAATGCATTACATTTTTAATGTGCAGTGTACAGCTATTTAGTAAAAATGTGCCTCTCCCTCACTATATGGAGACGTAACTCTCCCTCTCCTCTACTCCAATATGAACTGAGATATAACTCCCTTAAATATTTGCATGAATTTGATGCAAGGAAGTATCAATCTTGTCAACAGTCACATAATTGTGCATCATGTATTTGTCATGGTGATAGAAAAGAAAATAGTTCTTTTGTAGTGTAGAATGTCTTGGAAGATGTACAGTGACTTCAAAGAAATGCCAGATGCACAAATACTTTTCTTTTCTTCCTTTCTTTGATGACTGGAGTTACAGCACTACATTGTTCCTTCTCTGCGATGGCCTTTCAAAACGTAAATAATAGGTATTTCCACAAAACTGACATTTGGAGCAAAGTGAAATAATTTATTTCTCCTCCACCATTAAGTGAGGCAGGGTCCCTTCAGATGTCAGTGAATGTAGTACATCCTTTGAAGCGTCGTATTCCTGTTTGGTTTAAATAAATGGCATTTATTTAAGTAAATGTCAATATGTGAGATATTTGCGATATGTGTGATAGTGCAGTGCAAGAGCAAGCATGAAGCATTGCATGTCAGGAGGAAAGGGTGAAGCTGTTGCAGTAGGGAAA